AGCCCCAAATCCCCAGCCCCAATCTCACAATCCTCAAACCCAACACCCCTACCACGACACTCAAACCCAACACCCCTACCCACAACTTCCCTAAACCCCACCCCTGCCCAAGCCCCCAAAAACCACCCAACACCTCCTAACCCCAATGTCCCTTAGCCACCCCACAAGCACACCCTAACCCTAGAAAATAAATTTCTTCACAAAAATTACTTTAGAACGAAAATTCACAAGTAAATTGTTAATAAATATGTAAAGCTTACTTCAAATCGATGAAAATGTAGAGCTCCCTTCATCAATTTCGTTAAAATCACCGGAGATCGGTTGGCTTCATTAGTTTCTCCCTCACCGATTGAAGTCGTGTGTAAAGAAAAGGGGGGATTTTAAACGCAAACCCATTTTTTATAATCGAAGGCGTTAATGACCTAAAGCTGTGTCGTTTAGGTCTGCGACGGATGTGTTTCCGTCGCGGGTTCCATCCTAATGGAAATTAATTAAATTAAAGTAAATAATTACGTTTGCAACGAAGCGTTTCGTCGCATGTGACGTTGCAGATTATTGGTGCCAAGCCTCCCGCCCAGAAATTTGCGAGGATTAATCGATCCGTCACAAACTCTGTTGCCGAATTTTACGGTGTCAACCTCCGTCACCGTGTACAACGGAAGTAGACCCGTCGCAATTCAACGATTTTCTTGTAGTGGACGTTATTCAAGTACTATTTAGGGAATAAAAAATTTAGGTATTACATTGGGAAAAGACATACGTAGTATATTTTAGTACTCCCTCCGTTTGGGAAAACACCTCCTCTGATCTTTCATTTTTTTCTCTTCCACCAAAATACTTTCACTTTCTATTAAAAACCCATTTTTATCCTAACTTTTTTTTACTCTACCTATCACATCATACTTTTTCTCTAATAATATATTCATCACATATTACTCTCACTTGTGAAATAATAATATAAATTAAACAATAAATGAATACCAATTTGGTAAAAATAATATTATTATTAATGCCAATGTTTGACATTAACTTTTTTTATAATCATAAGTCATAACGAAACACAAGTCATTGAAAATTATATTCTTTAAAACTTCAAGAATAATCCTGTATAAAATGATATACGGAATATAACTCATTTATGTTGTTTATGTAAACCTTCTCTAAGTCTTTATTTTCTAATAATACAACTAGTATCGTACCCGTGCGTTGCACATGTCATATTTACGTTACTAAATTAAGATCATTTTTAAACATTAAAAAATGATATCTAATAGAATATAGAAATTTTATTATTTTAAGATACAAAAGTTTTTTGCTTACAAATTTAGAAAGACTTCTGTATAAACTATATTATTCGTACAATTTGTGGGAACATTTTCTTTGTTGCATATCAAAATCTTCAAACCATTATAATTTGTTACTTTTGAAACTGCAACATACAGTTTCTAAATAACTTACCTTTAATTATTATTACGAATATTATTATGATGATTATTATTATACGGTACCATATTATTTTTATTCTTTCACATGTTACCTTTATATTATACACGATATCAAAATTTATAAAGTATGAAATTACCATATTAATAATTAATAATTAATAATTAAGGTTTCACATGTTACTTTGTTTATTACACGGTACCAAAAAATATAAGTTATGAAATCACACTAAAACCATACAAAATTAATCAAATAAATAATGTAATCAATAGAAATTAAACAGAAACTGGTAAGAAATAAAATAAATATATACGGAGTGGTGGGTTTTAACATTTTACACAAGCCGTCCAGTAAAGTTGGAATTATTGTAGATTATTTTTTCTAAAAAATAAGAAGTGATATGTTAATACTTTGTATAATGCACAAAATATGAAAACCTACCCGTATATTTTTATTTTACTTTTACCAATTTCAAGTTAGTTTCCATTGATTACCTTATTTATTTTATTATTTTTGTACTTCGTATCATTTTAGTTACATTTCTCATTTTTTCATTTTTTATATCTATTTTTTATATTTTTTAAACTAAGACTAATCTTTAGAAAAGGAAAGAGAAATGATGATGGAGGTAGAAAGTAATTTAAAAAATTTAAATGAAAAATTTAAAAAAAATAAAAAAAAATTAAAATTCATCAAAAATAATCCCAACTTTCATTTTGTTGCCTAAAACGGGCATTTCCGTTAACCCTCCTTTAGAAACTTAACGGCAACCCAAAACTGGCAAATTTCAGTAAAGTTGGGATTATTATGCATCACAGTGAAAGGTGGGATTATTTTTGAAAGACCGAGTAAAGTAGGGATTATTTTGGGTAATTTTTCCTTATAATTTTGGTAAAAAAATATAAGGCATGAGAATACATTTTTTAAACCAAGTCAACACTTTCATTTATTTTATACATGGTAATAGCACAAAACTAACTTACCTTTATTATTATTATTATTATTATTATTATTACGTTTATTATTATGATTGTTATTAGTATACGGTACCATATTATTATTACTATTCTTTCACATGTTACATTTTTTATTATACATGGCACCAAAAATTATAAGGTATAAAATCACCTTATTAATAATTTTTTTGAAACACCTTATTAATAATTAACAATTAAAGTTCACATGTTACCTTTTTTATTACACGGTATCAAAAATTATAAGGTGTGAAATTATCTTATTAATAATTAATACTCCCCCCGTTCCATTTGTCCACTTTCATTTTTACACGCCATGCAATATACTTATTTAATCCATTTTATCTTGTAATTTGTATATTAAAAAATTATAGAAATTATATATTAATAATCTACTATGTTAAGACAAATCAAACAAGATCACACATGACTATATTTAGGCTTACACATTGAGAGAATTTGATGAGTCAAAGTGCTTAGATGAACAGTTCCAAAAGTTAAAAGTGGACGAATATAGCGGGACGGAGGTAGTAATTAATTTTATAATTAATAATTTTGGTAAAAAAATATAAGATATGAGAATATATTTTTTCTAAACCAAGTCAACACTTTCATTTATTTTATACATGGTAATAGCACACAAAACTAACTTGCCTTTATTATTATTATTATTACGTTTATTATTATTATACGGTACCATATTATTACCATATTATTTTTCTTTCATATGTTACCTTTTTTTGGTATACACGATACCAAAAATTGTAAGGTATGAAATTACTTTATTAATTATTAATGTTTCACATGTTACCTTTTTTTATTATACACAGTACGAATAGTAATTATTACGTTTATTATTATTATTACACGGTATCATATTATTACCATATTAATATTAAAGTTTCACATGTTACCTTTTTCTATTATTATTATTATTATTACGATTATTATTATTATTACACGATACCATAATAATTAATGATTAATAATAACTATGAAGGAAAAGTGAGAGAGTAAATAACTATCAAATTACCTTATACACGGCACTTACCATTTCAAGTTTTAGCACTTACCATTTGTGACTGAAACGTTTAGGCGGGAAAATGCAATGGAGAGTTCCCCTCTTTTTAAATATAGTATAGAGTATAGATATAGATAGATTGCGCTGAAGATTGATAGAAAACGTGGCTTATGTTATTTTGGCATTTAGTTTTAGCACTTTGAAAAGATTATCAAACCAAAACATCTTGTATTAGCATTTCAAAGTTAATCATCTTGAATCCAAGAGTGGAGCAGAATTGAGAAACTAACCCTCCGCAGACTTTGCTACTTTTGGTTCTTGTAGTAGCTCGGAATATGTAAGACCAACATTAATAGAAACAAATGCCCAGCCGCCAAGTGCCATCAGAGAGAAGAGGAAAGGATGAATAGTCTTGATCATATTGGAGGAGGTCAGTAGCTGCATTGGTACTATGGCATAACATTCCCAAATCCCTTGGGAAAAAAAACCAAACCACAAATGACAATACCCATATAATTGCACTGTCCAGGAAGCGAGTATACCGAGGCATTCCATCTGATACGGAAAAACAAAACCGAGACCCATAGCAAGCACCACTGAACAGATCTCAGCAATGCAATTCAATTTCCAACAGGGCAACCTATATTTCTTTTCAGGTCGAGCCAGCAAGTAAACCGCAAAGAAAAACCTGCAAGTGATGAAAATTCCGTAGTTTTGGAGGGAGACCGGCAAATAAATGTTCTCAAAATCTCCCCCAATGGCCGAATAGAACATAGGAATTTCCGCGAAAGAAACCCCCAAGATCAATAACGCCCAAAAGTGATCTAAGTCCTCTGCATCATCCAACATTAACCTAATTAATAACGTTGAGTACTGACAGGAGTAATGAAACAACAACAAACGAAAGAGAAAGCATATGGTTAATTACCGCCTTTGTGCAGTGGGTTCGGGATGCATTTGGGATAAGACTTATTACGTTCATTATTGTTAGTTGAAGCCTGTCAATAATAATAATAATAATAATTATAAAGAGTTATATATAATAAGGTTCAAACACACAATCTGCAGTTAACATTCCGTTCATCTCTGGAGTAATTAAAGTAGCTATTACCGTCGTAGGCATGATGGAGGATGGAGATTGTGATTCAGCCATTGAATTGAATTGAGTTGTAGGCATAATCAATCAAACCAAACCAAATCTCGTTTCAATTCCTTATCTTAAAGATTCGATCGATATGCAGATTTTAGCTACTCCGATGCTATGAGACGATGGGAATAGATTGAGAGAGTAGGAGATGGGTTGCTTGACTTAAGTACAAATGAGACCGAGCGACGATTGACAGGGAAGATCGTTGATTCGGCCAAGAGAGGGGATTGGCTGAGTTCAATCCATTGAGAATTTGAGAGGACCGAAGGGGATAGGGAAATAGCTAGGGTCAGGGAAGACGAAGAATGTCCAATACGATTTTAACTTCTTTTATAGGATCAAGGGGGACCTTGTTATATATTATTCCTATTAATTAGAACTTGTTTCCTTATTTACTTAGATTTTATCCCTTGTATGTATGAACTAGTATCGCACATTTGCATTCCACGCTTCACATTTACGTTACTAAATTAAGATAATTTTTGAATGATAGAAAATGATATCTAATACTTCATCCGCCCCATAAAACACTTCCTATATGAAAAAAGATGCGCCTTTAAAATAAGTCATTTTAGCGTTACATTCTAATTATAACTTATCTATTCTACACATCTCAGCCTACTCCATTATAAAGTAAGAGCAAAATTAAAAAATAACACTAAAATTACTCATTTTAAGGGTGTACTTTTTTAAAAAAGGAAGAGTTTTATGGGACGGGGGGATAGAATATAGTTTTACTCCTTTTAAATCTTTTAAAAGTCAAAATTACACTCCTTTTAAATCTCTTAAAAGTCAAAATTAAAATAATTTTGTAGGGCGGATGGTGTATTATTATTCTTTCACATGTTACTTTTGTTATAACACGGTTCCAAAAATTATATTGTATGAAATTAATTACTTTATTAATAATTAATTTTATAATTTATAATTGGGAGCGTCTAAAATGACACGAGTTACTTATACACCAGCTGCTTACACCAGTTCGTTTGAGGTACCTACGATGCTCCGTTTGTAAAAACTACGGTTCTTACCCTCCCTAATCCTCCCCCTAAACCCCCAACCCCAGTCCCACCCTTGCCCCCCACCCCAGCCCCCCCTCCCGCCCCCTCCCTACCCTGGCAGTATACTACCTCACAGTAGCCAAGGTATGGAAGAGGGCGGGAGGGGGGCTAGGGTGGGGGGGGGGCAAGGGTGGGGCTGAGGTGGGGGTTTAGGGGGAGGGTAAGGGGGAGTAGGAACCGTCGTTTTTACAAACGGAGCACCGTAGGTACCCTAAACGAACTGGTGTAAGCAAATGACACCAGTAGCACTGGTGTCATTTTAGACTTACCGTTTATAATTTTAGTAAATACGGAGTAAATATAAGTTATGAGTACATTTTTTTAAAACCAAGTCAACACTTTAATTTATTTTATACATGGTAATAGCACAAAACTAACTTACCTTTATTATTATTATTATTATTATTATTATTATTATTATTATTATAAGTATTATTATTATTATTATTACTCCGTATTATTATTATTATTAAAATGGGTAGGTCCAATTAGACCTAATTTTGTCAAATGGGTCAATTCGCATTCAATTGGGTTTGATTTGGGAAAATTGGGTTTCAATTGAGTGTGTTCAGGTTGTAATTTGCCTGTCTGGGTTACCATTGAGTCTGTCTGGATTCTAATTAGGTCAATTTGGGTGGTTTGGACTCAATTGGATAAAGATTTGTTGGATTGGGTTCCAATTAGATGCATTGGGTCGCAATTGGATATGTTTGGTTTGGGTTAAGGTTAGAGGATGGTTGATGTATATTTGGATCCCGTTTGGGCCAGTTGGACCGGCTGCCGGGAAGTGGGCACTGGTGGGTTCGAGGTTTTGGTTTTTGGGTCACCGGTTTGGTCATGTGAGTAGCCGAGCTAATCCAGTGGCGGGGATTTGTTTCGGCCAGGGCAGCAGGCCAGAGGATAGAGTCCCTAGCCCTGATTTTGCACAGGTTGGGTAAATTTGTAATTTCGGTTTTGTTTGATTATGCATGATGGTGCTCGAAAGGCTTCCGGTCCCTGAGCCGCTATTTGATATGCTTGTTGTCAATTATGACTAATATCAGAAAATAAGTCACCTAGTATGATACGGTATCGAATCAGGATAGGGAAGGATTTTGAGCACCTTCGAACTCCAAGAACAAAAGAGGCGAGAAAGAGAGAGATTAAGGTTTAGAAGAAAGTATTTTCTTTATTCATTGATTATTAATTTTATGAGTAATGGCTACATATATAGATGGTAGATCTAGAGAATCCTAACCATACAAGGCAACTAAATAAACCATAATACTAATAATCTAATATAATTATACTTCCTAATTATAATATAATTACCTAACCATAAATAATAAAACTACCTATAATAATAATAGTAATATAATAATAGTAATGGTAAATAACAAAATATAGTTCCGTATCATAGTATAATTAGATAGACGTGAATTGAATTGACTGATGGGAACACAGTAGGATGTGGTTAGGAATTAGGCCATGCTAGGCGTCGCACACCTGATGATCTTAGGTTAAAAACGTACCGTGACCTGTCGTGACATCCTAGGTAACCCGCCTAAAGTGGTTCTCTTTTAAGTTTCTGAGCTGACCCTCTTATAGTATCGTTTGAAGTGCCACGACTCACAGGTTGATGATTTGCCTTAGCCATCACTGGTTAAGACTTAGGAGACACGATTTGGATGAATAAGTATGAAGGCCATAAAATGTTTTCATTAACTAAGTATAGGATCCTCTGTCCCAGAGTATTTGTCCACTTTCATTTTTACACACCATCGAATACACTTCTTTAATCCATTTTATCTTGTAATTTGTATATTAAAAAATTATAGAAATTATATACTAATAATCTATATGTTAAGACAAATCAAACAAGATCACACATGACTATATTTAGGCTTACACATTGAGAGAATTTGATGAGTCAAAGTGCTTAGATGAACAGTTCCAAAATTCAAAACTGGACGAATACTCCAGGACGGAGGGGAGTACATATTCCTTAACTAATAATTAAATAAATATAAGTATTTCTGATCATTTTCATTATAACTAATTCCGTAATTACACTCATTTTAGTGTTACATTCTAAACATAACTCATTTATCAGACACATCTCATCCTACTCTATTATAAAGTAAGAGCAAAATTAGAAAATAACACTAAAATTACTCATTTTAAGGGTGTGCTTTTTTAAAAAAAGGGAAGAGCTTTATGGGACGGAGGGAGTAGAATATAGTTTTACTCCTTTTAAATCTTTTAACAGTCAAAATTACACTCCTTTTAAATCTTTTAAAAGTCAAAATTAGAATACTTTTGTAGGACGGATGGTGTATTATTGTTATTTCACATGTTACTTTTTTTTATTGCACAGTACCAAAAATTATATTGTATGAAATTAATTACTTAATTAATAATTAATTTTTTAATTTATAATTTTGGTAAAGTTATGTTGGAATGCATGAGTTCAACCTTTTCTGTGTTGTTAAGTGTTGACTCACAGGTTTTGATAATTGACAAACACAATTTATTCAAGTCAAGATCAAAGTGCTACAACGACAAACACGAAGACTTGAAGTGCCATTCCTTGAAATATTCAAGAAGGTGCACAAGATTTTTTGGAGTCTGAGATGCGTTCGGAGCGCCTAACGGAGGACTCGGAGGAGTTGAAAATTTCCGAAGACCTTTTATTTATTTGAGTCGTAGGAACATTTGTAAGGATGACAAAAATATCTTCTCTCCAAAATTATTTTTATGAGAGTTAAAATAAAAAATTATATTTATTTTTGGAGTCAGTTGAAAAATCTTTTTAACTGTTCAAAATAGTTTTATTGAGTCAGTCACAAAAGGTGTGCCAAACATTTATTAAATATTTATTTTGATATTATAAAATAATTTTGGTAAGCAAAAATATTTTATTCAAATATTTTTTGTGTACATCGTTTGACACACAAAATAATTTTTGGACTCACTTTTACTCCCTTATTCAAATTCATTGAATAAGAGAGGAGGAGCGCTTCCCTGATTCCCGTTGTCTCAAACAAACGTATACGCTCCGTTTTATCCTCCCTACTCGCCCACATGCTTGTGTCCTTCATGTCTAGGCATTATTGTTCCAATAATCGATTTTACCTTTGGAATTAATCGATTATCGCGTCCAGAAGGAACTAATCGATTAACACCTTTGGTTTTAATTGATTATCACTTTTCTGCGCAGAAGGAATTTGGCTCTGGCAATTTTAATCGATTTTTTCAGCTGCCATAATCGATTTTTTATGATGCATTAATCGATTATGGTGATGCATTAATCGATTATTATGCTGCATCTTTTCTGCACAGCTTCTTTTCTTGGACCAACGGATATATT